ACACTCACGACATTGTGACATCATAATGTACCAGTTTACATCATAGCATACCTCTTAGCCAATAGCGGTGGCAGATTTAAATTCAAATGCAGTGAAGAGTTTTTACCTGACAACGGCACAACACTGACAGTTTTAGGCAGAATATTTAAATTTTAACTAAAATGCACTAAAGTGCAAAACTATTGACTACATGTGTCTGCAGCATGATTAGACATGCATTTAGATAGTTTATCAGAAAAAATAGTTGATTTGGGGGTGACTTGCTCTTTAAAAAAACAGTATTTTTTGGACATTTTACTTTTCTGTTTCTGGTGCTGTGAAGCTTGGAGGATTTTTACTGCTATTTTCCCACTTTTTGAGCATTTGTTATGATGCGTAACCATGGCTAATCAATTCCCCTCTGGGATTAATTAATTATTTTTGAATTGAATTGAAACCTTTTATTTTCTTATTTTTAACTCAAAATTCATAATCATCTTTCATTTGTTTTAAATTTAATAATTTTATGACTTTGTTTTTCTGATTTTAATTTATTTCTGTTTTAAGATCATTATGATTTTATGTCTTTATGATTTGTTTGATTTTGTTTTTGATCTATGTAAAGCACTTTGTCTGTAATGAGTGCTATATAAATAAAATGTTCTTACTTACTTGTTCCCTCTCCAGATAATAACATTTTACTTTATTTAACATGGAAAGTGCTACTACTAGTTCACCTGTTGATTTAATTACAGATTCACTCAGATAAAGACAACAAAGTTTATCTCTTACTAAACAGAATATCTACAAAAAAAATGACAACGCAGCCATAGAAATACTACTTGGAATATATGTGCGAACATATCTACTCTGTTTTCTCAATCCCCAGTGAGTCACGACAGACGGCTGCTCATACAGTACTGAGCCAGGTTCTGTTAGAGGGTTCTTCCTGTTAAAGGTCACTACATGCTTGCTTATGAGGATTGCTGAAAAGTCTCTGACACGAGTCAGTGACTTGATGCAATCTGCTGGATTCCTTGTAAACTTTATAAGTGACTGGTTCAATGAACTGAGCTTGATTAAAATGTTTTACTGTGTGAAGTGCTTTGAGACGACCCTTGTCGCAATTTGGCGCTACATAAATAAACTGAATTGAATTGAATTACAACACAACCAGTCATCCATCCACACAGATTCACACCCTGGTGGTGATGAGCTACAGTGTAGCCACAGCTACCCTGGGGCTCACAAACAATGGCACATCCTACTGACCCTTACAGGCCATATTAAGAAGCTGCACAACAGCAAAGAACTTTGCATCGGCTCTCCAACATACTTTGGTCATCAAACCAGAAAATAGATTGGCTGGAAGTAAAATTGTCAATTATTTTAGGATTAGCAAGTTATGCATTTCTTACATTAAACGTTCTGGTCTTTGTTGCATCTTGACTGTGATTTTTGGCTTTGGACTAAATTTTCTTAGCACTACTTTGGAAGTTAGTGGTTGGTAGAAAAACAGTTTCAGGGGGACTTTTATTCACTACTTCTAGAATAGAATAGAATAGAATAGAATAGAATAGTGTAATGTCCAGAAAGGGTCATTTTCCATCTACAGTTTGACCTCTTCAGTATCCGGTCAGCTCCAGACATAATTCTGCCTCTTGTGTGCCCTCTAATATTCCAAGCTGCAAGAAAGATTCTGCAGTGCTTGTTGACATCCCGGGATCACAACATTGTCAACATGTTCCCTTCCCAAGGTTCTTGTCTGCCAAGCTGCTGCTTATCTAGTCTTTTCTCCACAGAATAAAGAATGAACTTTAAATAATGAAATGTTAAAATAATGGTTAAATGAAATACTTAAATAACCATATATAATGAATGGACAAGGTGTTAAATGAAATGGTTTGATTAATCTGTGCCTAAATTAATAAGGATGAAATGAATGTGTCCTTGCAATATCCATTTGTCTGATGATCAGCATAAGTGAATTAACAAGCTCACACACTTATACACATGACCATGTGACAAGGTTAAGGTAATCTCATGACACATAACAATTTTCTTATCCACAAAATCACTATCTTTTATCTGAAGGAGGAGTGTTTATGAGGTTTGTTTGGTAAAACCTGCTTAACATGGCATGTTGTGATTTGCCAAAAAATCAACACATAGGAATTAATAAAACTTAGATCACTTCCCATTGAGTTCAGTTCAGTTGAGTCATTTTGAGTTTGTTTCCAACTGAGACTCCGGAGTGGCTAATCCGGGACCAGTCTCTTTGAATCATCTCTCTGACATTCAGTCAAAACCTTTTTGCACGCTGCAAAGCTGACACAGCAAGACTCCTTAAGAGTCCGTTTGAGACGCTAAACAAGTCCACCTGTTGTTGTGACCCGGAGACGTCTCCAGACTGGAACTGGTTGTGCTGCGGTTATTCTGCAAGCCTCGGTGCCTTGAGGTCCACTGGACTTCCTGGCCTTCCGGATCTGCAAAGGGGTCTCCTAAGGGGTACGTAGACACAGCAAGATTGCGTCTGATGCCGTTCTATAAATAATCAACTTCCTAGTTCATAGCAGACCAAATTCTTTCACACCTAGAACTCACAGTTTCTTCCAGACACAAAAGGTTCTGATCACACATCACATTCCATCCACACATATTCATCTATTCATAACCCCCCAAAATACACTAGGTAACAACCGTTACAATAGAGTAGAATATAATAGAATAGAATAGAATTTATTTATTCCACAGTGGGGAAACTCACTTGTTACAGCAGGTGAATTTGGATCAGTCTCAAGTCAAATCAAAGGTTATTTATATTCATTGAGTACATTTTAAAACAACATCAGCAGCAACATCTACAAGACTCTCCTCTTCAGCAAACTGAGGCCCTTCCTTCTTCCAGTTGAGGTTACTTCTCACCTTGAATATCATAAAGTGTCATTTCAAACAACACAGAAAACCTCAGAAGCTCTCCATGAACAACAGTCACACTGATCAGAACAAACTAATAAACTAAGTCAAGTTACGGTCGTGTCATTGCTTTAGATTCTGCCTAATGAACAGTTTCTTTTCATGAGAAATATAATGAGACACAATAAATTGCAGCAATTTCACATTTAAAGGTTGAATAAAAAGCTACATTTTTAAAAATAATACCTTCTTGGGGCCTTTAGATGTGTGCAGAATGAAGGCACAGTATTTCCTTTAAAAGCTATATTTTAATTAAAAATAATCAAATACTTATTTTGACTGCATGATGATGCTGGGTTTATGTTTACAACTACCAGCCAATAGAGGGCATCTCTGCGGGTAGCCAAACAGTCTGCTCAGCGCAGCGAGGCTGGCGCTGTGGAAAATGGTGGACTCAACAAGTCAAGCAGCTGCTTCTGAGCCCAGTAGATGTTATCCTTCTCAGAAGAGGAGCGACCATGAAAGATCTGAAACCAGCGTGAGTTTAGGTGAAACCTACTGTACATCAGAAGGACCCAAATAAAAGTTTTCACTTATCGGCTGTGAACCTGGTATCCCAGAGCTGGAAACCTTGTTCTGTTGTTGCAGCTACAACCTCCACACACTAGATGTTGCTTTGGTGTTCGTGTTCCATATTCTACCTTTGATAAAAAGCTTTATGTTGCTTGTTTGGGGGAGGGGGGCTGTTGGTTTTTTGTTCTTTTGCTACAGTGTGATCTATCCAATGAGATGTGATATGATATATAAACCAATTTAAAAGTATGCAAGAAATGAGCATCACATCTTTGGTCAACGATGTCCAGATTGCTTTATCAAATGAATAAAGTCCCAAAAGAGTCACCTGAATATAATTGGTTCTTTTTTTCGTTGCTCAAAACCTAATTAAATTGAATGAAGGCTCTTGATTTGTTAAGCATTGTTGGTGGGTTAGGGTTAGGGTTAACCCTAACCCTAACCATCACTCTCAATGTGATTGTCTGGATAAATGTGTATTACGTGGGTCCAGTGTGCTGTAATTAAATAAACTAGTAATGGCGAGGGTTTCCAAATGAGCACCTGGAAAACGATTTCATAAATCACAACTATCTGTCAACATGAGATTTATTCAGGGTGACCAGTGATGGCCAACACAACCCAACCCCCCAATCTTTTTCTTTCTCTAATTTGTATGACAAACAATGAGAAATGCAACCCCACAGCTGCTAGAACCAAGAGAACCGAGCACATCACTCCTGTTCTTAAATCTCTACACTGGTTACCAGTAAACAACAGAATCAATTTCAATGTACTTCTACTAGTTTATAAATCCCTCAATGGCATGGGGCCAGAATACATGTTGGATCTCCTTCCTGTATATACGCCCAGCAGGGCTCTGAGATCCTCAAGTAGTCAGCTGGTAGAACAGTGTTGGGTGGAACCTCGGGTCAGAACCAAACAGGGTGAAGCTGCTTTTAGCTACTACGCTGCTCACAGATGGAGTCAGCTTCCTCATGACCTCAAATGTGCCCCAACTCATGTTTTCATCAGCCTTCGAATGGATGTAACTGCTCACCCTTTAACTTTGTTTCTTTTTAACGTTTAAATTGTATTTTCTGTCTTGTTGATTTTAATGGTCTTGCTATTCCTGCTAATGGACAGCACATTGGATTGCCTCTGTGTATGAAATGTGCTGTATAAATAACGCTACCTTGCCTACAGGCTAAACTCTCCCAGATTTATAACGAGGGCTAATTGGGTGTGCCTCCATAAAATTTTCACTGTCCCACCCAATGAGAAGTTTCTAGGGGTGCCCATGGTTCATTTGGGGAAAAAAACGTGCAGCTTTGATAAATGGTATGTTGAAATATTTAAAAAAATACAAATTAAGAAAAACTTAACATGAATGATGTTCAAGCTTATTGAAATCCAAATTTTATTTGGTTCATAATGTCAGTTAAAGTCAAATAAGTGGTTTGGCTTAAAATAAAAACAAACTCGATTGTCACTCTCTTTTTCTTCTTTTCCAGCACTGACACTGCATTTGGAGAGAAACCAAAACTCAAACCTCTTATCAAAATATACTTTATTCTGGACTTAGGTTTCACTGATCTGACTTAGATGACAGACGAAATAAAAGCTGAAAAAAATAAAATAAAACCCAAAACAAAAAAAATAAAGACATCAAGGCTTGCAGGGCACAGTGCAGTGACCCTGCAGAGCAGACAGGCTGCCTCAAGTCATCATCAGGACAAACCGAGGCTTCCCATGTCACAGATCGCTGCATGAAACCAAAACTCTGAACGCAGGCAAGAAAAACAAAAAACACACATGACTTCAAACAGGAACATATGAAATATTTAAAGTCCAGAAGTAGAAATGTCCAATTTGTGATGGGGCATTAAAAAACATACCGGTTTCATTAGCACTTGTTAGATGGCAAGGTGCTTGTGGAGGCAGATGATGTTTTGTCCAATTACTTTAGAGGAACAGCTATTTTCATTTGGAAAGAGATTTTTTCACTCAACCATGGAATAAAGAGTGCTGTTGGTGAGACAGCAAATATTATCCCAGAGCCACACATTAGACTCAAACTGAGCTCTATAGAAAAGGACATGTTTAGAAGAATCAAACAAAGATGCTGACCTTCACATTGTCCTCACACAACCTTTCAAGTAGATGTTTATTTTTCTCCAAAAGCAACCAGGTGGGTAAAATCTGCCTCCAGAGCAGCTCTTGCTACCAAACATCTGCAGGATTCCAAACTTTAGCAAAAAAGAAGATAATAAATAAAAAGCAGGGACTGAAAAGTTCCCTCATCTTTTTTCCTCGATTGACAAATTACAATCATTCAATTTAGTGTGTGTGTGTGTGTGTGTGTGATTGAGGAGTTTTTTAGAAAATCTTTTTTTTTTTTTGCCACTTGTAAACCCAATATTCCCAAAGGGATTCAAGCTAAAACACACGTTGTTACTCAAAACAGACAAACTGGGTGGTAATCTGCTCGAGGGCGAGGCCTACATTGTAGGCTCAATCGTTATCTTCTGCGTGGATGTAACAAAACTAAATATTTGAAATCTACAGCACATGTAAATTAACACTGCCAATAAATCATCAGTTCACATTTTGTTTTCAGATCTACATAGAAATTACAAAAGCATAACTTTAAATTTGTCTTTAAAAGTATAAAAGGTCTGTCAGAGTAAAACACGGGCAGCGTTTTGGTGGTTAGGAACCGAGACCGGAGGTGAGAGGGCAGGAGAGCTCAAATCCACAGAAGAGGCTTCTTCGTGTTTTTATTGGACGGGGTCTTCTAGATGTATCCCCACATTTGCATATTTTGATATTCATGCCAGTTGTGATCAGTGACGGTTTCTAAGAGCTTGTTTAATACTGGATTTTGAACAGAAGTAAAACAGTGGATGACTCCCTCTGTGGAGGCTCCTCATGGCAACAAGCTGAAACCTCCACTTTGAGCCTCCCTGATCAGGCCGACCGTTTCACCTTCAAAACCGACCATTATTTATCAAAAAATTAGTCATAAAAACATGCACTTATGAAATTACTGCTTTGGATAAAAAATTTAAAAACAAAGTAACACAATCTGATCCCAGAGCAAAGTTCAGGTCTTCACTCAGCTCTACACAAATTTGCTAAAAAAAGAAACTATGGGTTTAATAATGACCATGGGTTCAGTAACTTTGTGTTACGCTCACATTAGTGCAAAGGTTCAGTGTTACACAGCTGTGATTACCTAAAGCTCGACTGCACTGGGCCAAACCTGCACGCGTGTCTCTGAAGTGGTAAACTGGACACACACACTGTGCCACAGACTCTAAATGTCCATCGACAAATAACGAGATTTTCAATAACATCAGAAAATCTCACATGGACTCAAAATAGGCTGATTCTAAGACAGAGTCTTGTCAGTATGTGTGGTCCGCCACGTCCTGTGATGCAGTTATAACCCAGACACGTTCACCGGGTTTAATAGAAACCCACGACTGCCAACAATGCTAACTTGTTTTAGCTGTTGAGCCATAGTTTTGCGAAAGAGGGGAAACAAACACGAAAAGCCCCTCTGCAGTCAGTCTGACGTAGACGGAAGCCGATTTTAGTCTGAAAAGTTTCACGTTTGAACTACGCAACATTTAACTGGCCGAGACGAGCGACACGAAATCAGCCTCCAAACGTTTTAAAGAGAGGAGAAACTGTTAGCTCCATGACGTCTTCCTGATCCAACGTGAGAGCTAAAGCAGAAAACGGTGCCAGGTTACGGGTCAGAAAAGTACAGAAAGGTTCTCGTTTATATAATCTGGATGATATCATCTGTGTTGTTAGCCCGTGTGGAAGCAGCCGAGCAACCCAGAGAGGTTTTCACTACCTCTGCATCGCTCAGTGTCCGACCCCCTTAAACCTGCCAGCGCTGAACCACACAGAAGAAAAACCTCACAAGTGTTTGCTGAGTGTGTATGTTGGAGTTTATTAGATTGTTTATTTCTCCACTAGCAGAATATGACCTGACCAGCCCTCTTCCCTCGCTGAAGGGTACGAAAACACAAAAACATTGAAACAATAGATCTGAACTTAAAGTAACGACTAAGTGCCTTCCTATTTCGTTTGGACAAGTCGATATGTCTGCACAATGAGAGCCGGCTAGTAACAAAGATCAACACTTTTCGTTGCTTTACACCTTGATGATAATGGTTTAGAGATCAAAAAGCAGAATAGCTTCCATATTTTGGTACATATATGGATGTGTAACTTTTTTTGTCTTTTTTTTTTTTTTGCGGCGTCCCATCTGCGTCTCTCTGAGAGTCTGCACAGACAGAGAGGGGCGCCTCCATCCACACATCTGTCCATCCATCTGTTTATCCCCAAGTCTGGACCTGCTGTGCTGGGTACTTGCTTCCTGCTTCCTGTTCCCGTTTCCTGCTTCCTGTTAGTCAGTGGGCGGTGCCGTAATCGTAAGAGTGAGCAGTACGCAGGGCAGGCAGGGTCTTTTGGCTATGTACACATTCATGGTCGGTCCATGGCTTCCAACGAACAGCAGCACTATTTCCGCAGGTCTAATACACAAACCTGGAAGAGAGGGGAGATGAAGCCATGAGACCAGCGCAGAGTGCCCGGGCACAGCTAATCAGGCTCCTGTACACACTTACAGATCCATCTGATGCGCTGGCTCCCACTTTGTCTCCGGCTGCGTTCCAGCAGACCTCAAAGATCCCCCCCGTCCCTCTGTAGCTGTGGACTAAAGCTCCTGTCTGAAGAGACCACAAACAGCAAGACGTAGGAGTGAGTTCCTGGATGTTGAAGCGCTGAGCTGTCCAGGAACAAAGGAACTTACCTGTGTATTCCAGATGTGCACACATTTATCGAAGGAGCCGCTAGCCAGATGCCGCCCGTCGGGGCTGAACGCCACGCTGTACACCGGCTCCTGATGTTTGGTTAGCGTGTGGATACAGATGCCTCGATCCACGTCCCAGAGACGAACCGTGGAGTCAAACGACGCACTGCAGGGCAACACAGAGGCCATCAGCTTTAGCTACCGTAGCAGAAAGGACATGGCTAAATGTCATGCAGAGCCTGTCTTTGTCCTTTTTTCTTGACAGCCTGATGGATTCACAATGCAAGAAGTTATTTGATTACTGTCCAACTGGATCCGCTGGGGAAACTTTGTCCCGGGAGTTCTCTCCTGCTCAGGGAAGGACAAATGAATCCCAGAACACCGGAAAAACATTAGAATGACTACCTGAATGTTGGGGAGTTTAAGACTTGTTAAATCACTCACAATGTCAGTCACCACCGTGGCGAACTAGAGGCCGACTCGTCTCATCACACAGCACTCCTATCTCAGAACACTGCTGCTAACCACTAAAACATCATCTCTCTCCTGATAATAACGTTTTGCTTTCCTTGACGTTGGATGTGCTACTACTAGTTTATCCGTTTAATTATAGATCCACTAGGATAAATACAATAAAATTTATCTTTCACCAAATAGAATATTTACTAAGACATCACAATATAACTATAGACACATTACTTGTCTTGTGTGTGTGTGTGTGCGCGCGCTCTGTCTTCTCGATCCCCAGTGAGTCGTGGAGGATGGCTGCTTATACTGAGCCGGGATTCTCTGGAGGTTTCTTCCTGTTAAACGGGAGTTTTCCTCTCCACTGTCGCTGCATGCTTGCTTAGTATGAGGATTGCTGTATAGTCACTGACACTAGTCAGTGACTTGATGCAATTTGCTGGGTTCCTTATATAGGAAACATTATTTCTGATTGGCTTAATGAACTGACCTGAATTGGAATGTTTATTATGTGAAGTGCCTTGAGACGACTCTTGTCGTGATTTGGCGCTATATAAATAAACTTGAATTGAATTGAATTGAATGATCCACTTTAATGGAACCAGCTTATGAAGAGGGCTGTCAACTCACACACAACCTCAGGATGTGAAGAGTGGCTGAACCAGTTGTTACTTCAAAATAATAATTAATAAAATAATAATATTATTCAAATGTGTCCCTCTGCCTATAGATACAGGTTAGTAAACAGTCCCCTGCTGAAGCTGCAGCCTGTGACTGACCTGGGCTGTAATCTGTCTCTTATGTATCTATGACAGTAACATAACAATAACACACACACACACACACACACACACACACACACACGTTTGGTTAGATACACTTGTGGGGAGCTGTCATTGACTTCCATTCATTTTAGTGGCTAAATTATGCCTAACCCATACCCTTACCAGTGCACAAAACTGATGATTAGTCCTGAAATTCTTATTAACCTTAAATACGTATTAGTGACAGAATAGAATTCTAGTCTGCTACTAACAGTAAAAACCACCTAGGCAACTAACTAGGATCTAGCCCCCATAGCCAAACCAACCCCCTACTAACCCTAACCCTGTTAGACCCTTGCCCTGACCTCAAGACCTGGCCCTAGCCATAAGGCCCTTGACCCTGACCCCAGCCCCTGACTCTAACTGTAAGGCCAGTTAAGTAATGGATTATTATTTTACTAGGATATGGAGAAAAATGGAAGGACCACCACTCTGGACAAAACTGTACCACCAAGCACCCCCTCTCTCACACACATGCAAATTTTGCCTAAAATGTGTTATTTTGTAATGATGCTGTTTATTTGTTTACATTTTTCCCCTTTAGTATTTAAAATACCAATATTTACCCATAACTTCTTATTTTATGTCTGTTTGACGTCATCATTTGAAAAATATTAGATCAGATGATACTCAGTACTCAAGTAGCCTTCTAATCAGATACTTTTTTACCCTTACTTGAGTAATAAACCCTATATCAGGAAAATATTGTCCTCGGTTTGTGTTCCAGTGAGCTTTGCAGATGTGGGAAAATGTCATCAGGCAGTAATCGTTGTTAAATTCATAATTATTCTCGGAGAGAGACCAACTCTTATCTGCCCCTGGGAGCCCCGTAATGCATAGCGTCATTTCAACATGGGGGTGTCCGCGACACGGTTTATATGCAGGTAGCGGCGCTGCGGCTGCTTTATATAGCGACTCGTTGCATTCTCCCTCAACCCAAATCCTCGGATCACGCATTTTGGCTAAAACGCTAACGTTAGCTTGCCTTGCGTTGACTGTAGAGTTGTGGGTGATGGTCATGCAGATGTGTCATGAGATTTGAAGCGTTGCTGCCTTTCACAGACACTTTTTCTGCACGTGCTGCAAACAGGATCGCCGTCTTCTATCAACTGTCCCTCGACATTCTTCAAATATCCAAAAAAAAATGTCCGTACTTCCCACTTTGTCTTCTTTGAGGGATAATAAATGTCCTGAGCACTGCCGTCTCCTCCTATAGACATTATTTCAGCTTTGGCTTCAAGAAAGTTTTGGTTGTAAACAACAAAGTGCGCATGTGCCGCCGGCAACTTCGGCAGATGATACGGTGGCTGGTAAGGGTCACCGCGCCTACACCGCAGCCACGGTAACCCACCAAGATAATATATTTTTTTTTAAAACAAGACGGTTATTATTATTGTCAACTTTTTTACCGGGGTTTACCGCTACACCAGTTGCCGTGACAACCCTAATGTACACACACTTTACTTTTACTTCCTACAGCCCTCTTCCATTTCTCTCTCTCTCTCTTTCTCAGTACAGCACAGGACATGACACTCAGCTTTGTTTGGGTTTCACCCAACTGTGCACATGCACCTAATAAGAATAAGAATACCTTTATTAGTCCCTCAGTGGGGAAATTGCAATATTGCAATGGCTCAGGTACAGCAGGATGGCAGCAGTAGCACACAAGATATCGCACAAGAGTACATAGTAATAATAAGTTAAGATAATTATTGAACATGCTAATGAGAGTAGTAGTTATATTCCACATGTTTTGAAAAGATGATCTTTGCAGTGGAAGGTTACAGATGTATGGCTTCTATTAGCAGAAGGAAAGATCTGCGGTATCTCAAGGCACAAGTGTCTCATCGCACCTCACACAGCACATCTCAAATCAACAGGTGGACCGCTGACAGCCTCTCGGAAAGCACATGCACTTCCCATAAAGCCAGAAACCAGCAGCTCAAGATTCGACCTGATCTCGAGTGAGCGTGCACGCCTTTGGTTTCCACACCCAACTCTGCAGAGCCATTGGACAGCAGGGGGGTTTCATTGAGAACTATCTCACCATCCTAACCATAACCAATACTGGCCTATTCCTAACCTTAACCCCGACTACAAGTTAATTCACACCATAGCTCTAAAACTGAGTTTCAGGGGGTTTTCCTTTGTAGGGACCAGCCACCACAAGATCCAAAGGTCCCCCCCCCCCACATTGCAGGATAAACCCAAGAAATCGCCCCCCAGAAGGTAATGAATACACGGTCACACACGCACCTGGCCAGCATGAGGTTAGCACTGGGGTTGTTGGTTCCCGGGCCAGTGGGACTCCATTTGATGGTGTAGATTTCTTTGCTGTGTGCCTGCAGGTCATGGACGCACGAGTCCTGTTTCATACTCCAGATCTGAACACACACAAAACCCAGAGCAACGTTTCATAATTCACAGGCTTCTACAAGCAGCCTTGAGAGTTACAGAAAGAAATTAAGACTGCCATGTGTTCTTCTGAGGGGTCACGTTAACTCATTCACTGCCAGCCGTTTCCTGATCGCTAACGGCCTTCGCTGCCAGCGTTTCCCACAGTTTTTACTGTTTTTTTTAAGAGTCACAGAACGTTGCGCGCTAGGATTATGTCGACGCCAAAACAACAAAAACAACGAGGAGACTCGCCTCTTACATCAGGAAGAATCCGCGTGTTTCGAGCGTTATCCGTTCTTTCATAATCCGTTGTCGAATTGTGATCGGCAGATGCTTTTCCGGTTCGCGCCTCACTTTTTTTTACAGGAACGGCCCAAAACGATCTCCTAACACATGGATGTTCTGCTTCCTGATCACGTGACGTGTGACGTATGCGGATGAAGATCGACTTCAGGGCTGAGATGTTTGTTCTCTCAGCGCGGGGGCTCGTTCCGATGCTCAAACAGTAAAAAAATGCAAATGACGACTTTAGTCGTCAATGGCAGTGAATGAGTTAATCTTCCTTCCTGTTTCATTCACAGACAGTTTTACGACAGCACAAAAACTGACAGTATGTCACTAACAATGTTAGCCAGACGATTACAGGGTATCTGCAGGTTGAAGGGAGCCAAATTTAAGACTTTTTAAGACCTTTTTTAAGGCCACTTTGACCAAATTTAAGCTATTTTTAAACTAAATTGAAGCTATAATTTCCAGCTATTGCCATGAACCGGTGCTAACCACGTCGCAAACGTGGGATTAGCCATCCAATTACCATTAAAGTTGCACTTCCCCATGGCGCAAGCTCCCTCTAGCTTAACCAGCTAATGTGCTCATCTAGAAATAGCCCCCTTTTACAACCAACTGAATGTGTACAGTTCCGCTTACGCCAACATCAAATACACAAAAAATGCTGACCACCAACTAGAAATTCACGAAAATGACAAAAATAAAAGAATCTTGTTTATTGGGTCTTTGGTAATTTAAGACCTTTGGAAACTGTATTTAAGGATTATTTGTCATTTTTAAGGATTTTTAAGGCCTTAAATTTGGAAAAGCAAATTTAAGACTTTTTAAGACTTTTTAAGGACCCGCGGATACCCTGTATTAAGACACACCAACTCAGGACATGAACTTGTGAAAAATTAGATTAGATAAGATTTCGTCTCACTAAGAAACACTTGTTTATTATATGTCAGTCAAGCTCTGTTATCTCTGGAGAGCTAAACCAAAGAAGTGAAAATAAGATGTGTAATTGTAGAAAGGGCTGATAATAAAGATGACTCATGGATCAGTGTTACATGACTCAAACAAAAATAAAACTGCATCTTATAAAAATGATTTTTAAAAAGGCAGAAAGGGCAAACGAGCATTTAAAAGTATTACGAAAGGACGAGGTGAAGAACAACAGAATGAAGACTGATCCCAGGCTCTTGAACAGAACTTCACATGTTTCTGTTTCCATCCGAGGTGAAGCTGATGCTCACCTTTAACGTCATGTCGTCTGAGCAGGAGGCCAGCAGGTTCCCCGTAGGGTCCCACTTGATTGCATTTACTTCGTTCTGCAGAAATGGAGGAAGAGGAGCGATGAAACGGTGTGGATACCTTCCCTCCAGAATGATTTAGATCAAATATTCACTCTGGTTCCATTTTAGATTCAAACATGAACATGGACAGGAAGCGGCTCTGCAAACGCGTCACTCACTGTGTGTCCCTGGAATGTCTTAATGGGTCGGTCCTGTCCCAGTTTACAGACATGGATGCACATGTCTGTACTACAGGAAGCAAATGTGTTGTTGCTCTGCCAGTCCACATCCAGCGCTGGAGCTGTGATAGACGACGAGTTAGTGAGCTGCAACACCACAAACCCTAGTCGTCATGAGAGGAGGTGATCGTGTACCTGAATGGAACGGAAACTGCTGTTTGGCTTCTCCTGTGTGAGCATCCCATATGATTGTTGTCTGTCAGAACAACAGAAAAAATGTGAACGTCTGCTAGAAACCGCTGAACATGCTGCTTTACAGGGTAACAAAGCTGTAGTTTACCTTGTCTACTCCTGCACTCAGGATAAAGTTGCCCTTTTTATTCCATTTCAGAGCAAAAATGGGACCTTTGTGTTGACCTAGAGTGCTGGCTAAGTTTCCTGTGGAGCAGAACAGAGAAAAAAAGATGGTCAGTATCAAAACTGTTTTAAAAGAGTAAAAGATTCACAACTGTGGCACCTGCGTAGAGCTGCCACGAGATGGCAGCATGTTACAGCAGTTAACATAAATATGTGGGCTTGTAGTGACATTAAAGCTTCTGCAGCAAAGACTCTCACAATCAGAAATACACTGCTCAGAACACGGGTACACTCTGCAAACACAAACACACCCTTTATGATCCTGCTGAGGAAATAAAAGCGTCTCACCGTCTTTTGTCCATATTCTGGCAAAGCCGTCATAGGAGCCCGTAGCTAACAGGGTGCCCTCGCTCTATTGGACAGAGAAACAGACAGATGGTTTATTGTACGTTCAACTGAACATCGATGAACTGATCTGCTCATATGTCTGAGTTTGCTCTGATAAATAATGTGTGAGACGACGGCTACTGGCAGAGCTGTCAGCTGTTACCCAACACAGAAAACCTTAACACTGGTTCCCAACAGCAATAATATCAGCTCTGACTTCATTTAGAGCATCAGTAGTACAATTCCACGTCAATATTTCAAACCTAACGAAATACCAAGTAACCAGATAAAATGGAGGTTTGCATTTTTGTTAAGAGGCTGAAGTACAAAAATGTAGGGGAACGGATCTAAGCGCAAGTGAAACTGTGTCTGTTTCACTGATCTGTGTCCCTTCTTGTCACCAGCTTCACTGTTGTGTCTTCACTCCAGTCTGCTGTCCAGGTGAACATAGACGCATTTATATTCCTCCACCACCTCTACTTCTCTCATTATGGAAAGGTGTGTGATATAATCCCGCTACTCCTAAAGTTCACAATCATCTCCTTTATTTTGTTCACATTTAAGATGAGAGGATTCTTCCCACATGGAACCATAAAGTGGTCTCTTGTCCATCTCTCAGTGCGGTTACATGGGCACTGACCGACATCTAAGTCAGTCCAGGCCGATCTTAAGCTGGGAGTCTTTATCCTAGTTTACATGAGCATTAGAAAACCGGCTTCTCAAAAAAAAAGTTTATTCCACTCCACTACAGTAGGTGGCGACACGCCCCTTTATATGTCGGCATTCTTCCAGTTAGTTTCCAGTAGCTTATAGCAACACAAGCAGTAAACAGAGGATGGCGGGAGTGAAGCAGACGGAATTGAAACAGGATATGAAAAATGACTGAAGGAATGCACAACAACGCTGCAGCACAGCTTTTTTGGTACACACTGTCCTGCTTTATGGTGTTACGAGGACCGCTTCCACGTCTCGTCACTTCCGGAACATGAGCGTCCTACCAGTTTCATTCGGCTGACCCGTTTACATGCAGAATGTAATCGGATTGCTACCACATTATCTGGATGCCTCAGCTTGATTAGAACCAGTCCATCTTCAGCCAGACGAACACGTTTACATGCAATTTTAAAAAAATGACGTGTTTTTTAGGGCAATACTTTGGTTTTCTGATGTGCATGTAAATACACTGACTGAGACACCCAACAACTGCAGACTAGGGCTGTCGCGGTAACCGCAAAAATGAAATATCGCAATATGAAGAAGCCCACCGCGCTGCATCATGGGCCACCGCGATTACTGAACTTGGTTCAACTCAATGATGCATGTTGAGAAGGACGGCTGCACTGGTATCAAAACAAAACGTTACTTCGCTCCTTTGGGAGCACTTTGGTTTTCAGTACGTCAGCTGCTGGCAGCCAGAGTCCTCGGCCGAGACAGAGCTGCCACCAGCGGCAAAAAAATAATAATAAACACTCGGAGACCTGCTGAAGTCCCGGACAAGCACTGCTTCTGCAACCGTCCCGAAGAGAGTTTGAGCCGAGCTGGAGCTCACTCGCTACCTGCAGGAGGACTGCATCCACCCTAAAGAAACCCCCCTGACATGGTGGAGCAACAACCGGGAGAGATTCCCTTTGCTCGCCAGAGTCGCACACAGGTACGTGTGTGTTAGTGCAACGAGCGCACCATCCGAGAGGGTTTTCAGTGTTGCTGGAAATGTTGCCACCCCTCTCAGATCCTCTCTCAAACCGTATATGGTTAGCATGCTGGTTTTCCTTGTGGGTAACAAGGACGTGACCGAGCTATAAATCACCGTCATTCGTGTGTGTGAAGGTGAAATGATAGTGCGCCCGCCCCCCAGCGCGCGCGCGCCCGGTACATGTAATTTTTTATGCTTGATTTTAAACAACTAAACAAAATGGGGACTTGTTTCTTATTTGTTAGATGCTGCAGCCAAATTTGCATTTATAAGTTTAACCTTCTCCTGAATTTTGTTGTTTTTAAGTTCAGTCGGACTCCGACTGTCGGAGAAACAAACGTTACTGCGACCTGTGTTGTTACTGCCCTTTGATCTGCATTCAGTAAAGTGTTATAAAAGAAGGCATGGCAATTTTTAACCTTTTTTAAATGTGTAAACATTATGTTTAGATAGTACTGCAATAAAAAAAGGACTGCAATAATATCGCACACCGCAATATTAAGCCACCCTGAATCACCGCAGGAGGAATTCCTCAACCGCGACAGCCCTACTGCAGACTCATCTGCAGATTTCTGTAGATGACAGGACTCTGGCTTGTACTGAAGGTCAAGAGTACAGAGTTAAAGAAACAGCAAGACAACAGCTCCCTGTGGTCCTCCTGTGCAACTGGCAACCGGGACTTAAGTCTGTTAATAGTCATTATCCCAGGTGATTAGGGAGATGTGTTTGCTCTTTCAGGGACTTTCGTGATCTGTGATGTTAGGGCAACAGGTCAACGGTTGTTGAGGACAGATGGATGAGATTTGTCAGGTTCTGGAACACAGCATGATGTCTTTTCCCGATTCAGACTAAGGTTGAAGAGGTGCTGCAGAATCCCACAAAGCGGGTCTGCACACACGGATATTGAGGACTCAGCCTGACATCATCTAAACCTGCTGCTTTGTTCAGGCTTAGTATCTCCAGCTGCTTCTTCCCCTGAATGCTGAAGACTGGCAGAAAAAGGGGTGAAGGAACCACCCAGCTTCTCCTAAAGTTGGTAGACAGCAGCAGTGCTGTTAGTCTGGCAGCAGAGTGAGGAGACAATTACTTAAGCCGGGCATACACTGTGCGACTTTTTCACTTTTTTGAGACGATTTTCCACTCGTGTGAGAATCCACAAGATCGGGGCGAGTTTTGCGCCGAGCAACGTGTAGTATACAGGGGGTTACAATTCAATTCAAAGACACTTTATTAGTCCCAGAGGGAAATTAGAGGTTCAGTACGCACAATTCTGAGATCAGACATACATACATACATAGGCATAGGCACATGACAAGAATTGGTGACTGTGGTCATTCGCAACCCGAGTCGCGCTACCTTAATAGAGATCAGGGGGTTTACATGAGGATTGAGTCAGGTGGAGGAAAAAAGGCACTTCAGAGTTACCCTCCACAGGGAGGACAGCTTTGCTGTGCAAAAAACACCTCAGACAGAAATGCAACAGACTTCAGACATTACACAACGTAAGTGTCCACTAGGTGGGGAGGTAGGGTTTGGGACTCTCCAAACATCAGTGCATGCAGCCGCGACAGCAGCGCTTGTCACCTCCGTTTGGACAGGGGAGGGAGGTCGTTGGTTTTAGAGAGCACAGTGACTCCTGGAACGATTCAACGGCCTTCACCGGTCGCAGTCCCGCCCAGGCTGGGATAGGGAGACAGAGTTGCCATGGCGACGGCAGCATTCCACATTTCTTCTGAGTTATCGCTTCAGCCTCACAGGCTCAAGGGCACCACGTTCAGATAAGAACTTGTTTTGGGGCCAGACAGAGATCATTTCCTCTCTGTCTTAAAGTTCCGTTGGTCCTCAACCCCTCCAAATCCAATAATGGCGTAGTTAATCTATCCCAATCCGTGCTGACCCGTCAACTCGCTCCTTGATCGAATTCACCTTCTGTGCCAGAGTCTGAATCTCAGCCAAACTTCCAAGCTTACGACTCATCTCGACAATTATATGAGTCTGTGCGTTCACAGCGCGGTGTAATCCATCCCTGAGCTCCGGGATTGAGCCAATATTCCTCGACAGCTCATTAATTTTCCAGTAAGCCAGATAACCACTCAGGCCAAAAAGCAGGAAGCCTGACACCAACACAACGACTATCCACACGTCTTCGGAATTCTCTACAGACAGTTGGGAGAGGCAGATCGGGTTCCACTGTTTCTAGGAGTCCATGATATGCCCCACTGGCTCTGTCCCAGAGGGGTAACCGGGAGCCCCTTCTCCTGATCTCATTGTTGAAAAAATCTTGTCAATCGTGTTGAGGGACCAACTGACCAGATCCATTTTTAATCATTTCCAGTTTACAGAAAAAATGCAGAAGTGCCGTACACCCAAAGACAGACAAAGAGCCTTGGGACAAGACAGGGAGGAGAGGAGGAAAAAAGCTTCTGTACTCTCCAAGAGCCGGAAGAAGAAGAGGCGATTAACACCATGTGACCAGCTACCGTCCGATCAGCAATCGTGAGCTTCTGGCATGTTTGAAATTTGGCTCGTGCCTCGTGAGAGCTGAGGCAGCGCTGCAAGCGGTTGTGACCCAAAAAGTACCAGAACCACTCACGGCACATGCGCAATCCTGCGTCAACACCGCTCACCTAGCTATCTCCTTCACACATTGTTTGTTTTTATTTCTACACTTTTTTTTTACACATTCAATGACGGATTGTCAAGAAAGCATGTTTGATCTGTTCATGTAAAATTAAACTGATCACAAAACACTGATTTACTGTCTTTCTTTCGTTTTCCTCATCCAACCCCCATAAATCCCTGTGTGTCCTCCTGCACCACTCCCAAAGGACAACAGACATCAGTAACAACACAGAAAAAGTCTGACGTGTTGTGTAAAAACTGCTATTTTGAGAATATTTCTAGTTCCACCGTGTTGCTACCAGACGTACAGTGTGAGCGGTCCGGTCGCATCAGAGAACTGGGTAGTACAGCGTGAGCCCATGACTCGTGAGATTTGCTCTGCGAGGAAGTCGTACAGTTTGAGCTGAAGCTGAGTGCTACGAGTGAAAAAGTCGCACAGTGGCCGTCCGCCTTTAGTGCAATGCTTTGTGAATTAAGACTGTGAACTGAAACTGTAACTACACCCGCCGCGGACAATTACACTTCCTGTAATAATACTAAAACTGTCTGATTATTCCAAACAAATGATTTTTTTACTCAACATTAACAAATTATATTTATTAAAGAAAAAATATGGTCTTGAATAGAAGTAATTAGGATCACACTGAGAAGCAACTGTAGTGAAATGATGTAAGAACCACTAAAACAACACGATGCACGGCTAATAACAGAAAACCTGCATCATAAGTTTTGTTAAACCCCTGTGTGTGTGCGTGCGTGTGTGTGTGTGTGTGTGTGTGTGTGTGTGTGTGTGTGTGTGTGTGTGTGTGTGTGTGTGTGTGTGTGTGTGTGTGTGTGTGTGTGTGCGTGTGAGTGCGTGCGTGTGTGTGTGTGTGTGTGTGTGTGTGTGTGTGTGTGTGTGTGTGCGTGTGTGTGAGTGCGTGTGTGTGAGTGCGTGTGTGTGTGTGTGTGTGTGTGTGTGTGTGTGTGTGTGTGTGTGTGTGTGTGTGTGCGTGCGTGTGTGTGTGTGTGTGAGTGCGTGTGTGTGAGTGCGTGTGTGTGAGTGCGTGTGCGTGTGTGTGTGTGTGTGTGTGTGTGCGTGTGCGTGTGTGTGTGTGTGTGTGTGTGTGTGTGTGTGTGAGTGCGTGCGTGCATGTGTGCGTGCGTTTACATTCCAGTCCAGTGAGGTGACGTCTTTGTTGCTGGGGACGTCCTGTCCTCCCTCTCGTATGCAGTGCCTCAGCACCAGCTGTGTGGAGCTGGTTGTGCTGTTCTCAGTCAGGTTCCAGATCCGAGCTGTTGAATCGCCAGAGCTGAGAAACGACACACACAATCGTTTAGTCAGCTGAATTCAGATGAATTTTATAAAATGTGGTTAAAATAAAATGTATAAACTTAAAAGTCCCAAGTGATGTTCATTCTGTCCAAAGTAGCCTTGGGTATGAGAACAAACTGACAGGATGCTGTGAGCCACAGACGCCTTGACACCAAACTAAAGATCGATGCTACTGACTCAGACATAATCGGCTCTGGGATGTCTAGTTTTCAAAAGTGAGACGAGTTCCTGCCCCAGGTTTAGCGTAAGATGTTTGCATTAGTCTAAGCACATATTTTATTATACTAGTGTTCCAGTGGAGACCAGTATCAGTGAAGCGTTTCAGAAACAGAAGTCAAACCCACCCTGATGCCAGCAGATCGCTTACTGGATTCCAGGCACAGATAAAGACTTCCGACTCATGACCCCTCAGAACTATGGCCTTGTTCTGAGGAATCTCTACATCTCCATCCACCTCCATCAGGTCTGCATGGTTGTCTAGGGACAGAGTTTGATACGTTTAAGAAAAACATCCACCACAGACATATTACACTCAATGAATAAAGACAAATCTTTGTTCAAGTTACAATGTTACTGTTAGGGATGGGTACTGAATTCGGTACTTTTTAAGGTACCGACTGAATTCCACAGTACCGACCGAGCACCGATTCACGTCGTTTCAAACGGTGCCTCGTTTCGGTACCCGTCCTTCATAACGAGAACTTGCCAAGACAGCTGCACATGCGCAAGAGCGTTATGTCATCTGTCGCTGCGAGCCAGTTGTAAACAGAGCAGCATGGTAGGAAGAACGCACGCTAAAGCTTGGGTCCACTTCACTAAATGTGATGGGTAACTGGGTGATGATGAAACCAGCGACAACGATCTAAGTGAGACATCCTCATCTTAATCTGCTCCGGTAGGTAAATAAAATGTTTAAGATAACATTAGCTTGATTTGTTAGCTTCTGTTTCACTAATGGTGCGTTCGCTTTCTCCTCGGAAATCCGAAATTCCGATTGGAAGAACATGAACGCGCTCTAAAGTTTGGCTTCACTTTACTAAATGCGACGGGTGATTGGGTGAAGATGAAACCAGTGACAACGATCTAAGTGTGAGGCATCATCGTTTTAATCTGCTCCAGCAGCTAAATAAACTGTTTAAGATAACGTTAGCTTGATATGTTAGCTTCCATTGCCACAATTGTTATCAGCTAATGGTGCGTTCGCTTTCTCCTCGGAAATTCTAACTTCCCAGTAGGAAAAATCTAATGAAAAAAGGACGGCAAAAGGAATGAAGATACACAGTAAATTTAGTTCACAGTAAAGATGTTTGCTTCAGTTTAATTATCAGCTTATAAAACTACAAGGACGATGTTAAAATACAAACAGTTGTATGTTATTTATCGTGATATTTATCAAATATTGTTATATATTGAGAAAAATATGTATCTAATTATAAAAGAGAATTAAAATATTAAACACTCAAAAGTATCGAAAATTGGTACCGTTAAGTACCGGTATCGATTCGTAGGTACCGGGAATTAGTACCGGATCGATTCAAATATCAAAGGTACCCATCCCTACTGCAGCTGCTCCATCTTTTCCATCTCTAAGTGAGACACTCACTTGCTAAGGCATGAGCTCCATTCTCCTCCCCGTTGGCAGTATTCTCTCCGTTCTTTGCGTTCCCTGTGATGCTGCCTCCAGCTGCTGATGCTGGTGCTGAAGCTGCAGCCTGCTGCTGGGCCATTTTGTCCCGATAAGCCTGCTGCCTCGTCTGGACGACATCTGGCATCACCGCATCGATGAGCGACAGAGACTCGATAGGCCGTCCGTCAAATAACGTGCCGTCCTACAGAGCAAGAGACAACTGGTAAACGACTTTCGGGACTTTACAAATATCTAAAACCTGCCGAGAATTTCTGTAATATTTAATAGAAAAACGTATAATAAAACAAATCAACTACCTCACATACAGTTTAATACTACTGAAATGATTTCATTATAGAATCTATAATATTACATAGTCTATAATATAGATTATGTAATAATTTCACTTCTGTTGCTTAGATACACTAAAGGAGAGAACATATGGGTTGTGTCACACGTGCATTCAAAATGATAGCACTCTGGATTCCTGGCTAGTTAAAACCTAATTATAAAACAGCTGACCAACCAGATTTTCTTTCTACACAATGATAAACATTTCAGGGATTTCCCCTTTGGGTCTCCATACTGGCAGCTGGCAGCAGCAGGTGGGGGAGGGAGGGCTGCTCTGTCAGACTTCAGATGGACTAATTGGACCTGCAGAGTGTGAAGTCAGCAACTCTAAATGTACACTGATCCATTGGTCTTGATGGCAACATTTAGTAAAACTATTTTATTACGTTTTTCAAGCCCTTCATGCACACTCTTACTGCTAAAGCCTGGTTTATGCTTCTCCGTCAGCTCCGCAAGGGACAGACACGCACGGATTGACGGAAGCGTTTTGCTCTCATACTTCTCCGTCTCCTGGAGTGTTGCAAAGAAATTGCCCGGCAGGACCACAGAGGGCGTAGCGCTGTTCTGTGGTATCCTGTCATGTATCTGTCCAAGACATGGACGTAATTTTGGGGGGGGACAGGGGGGACATGCCCCCCCCACTTTTTCCAAAATCAAGTTTTGACCCCTGCACTTTTTACCATCCAAAACCAATATCACGCTATATTAAATTGACACTGGTTGAGCTCTAGGACCATGCGGAAAACAACCATTTGTGTTGAAGCCTGTTTCCCATTAGAGCATACTGTAAAGATAATTCCCCCCATCTACCCCCCGTGTCCCCCCCTCTTCTAAAATAAAAATTACGTCCATGGTCCAAGATCGTGTGTTTATATTGTGTTTTTTGTGTATATAAGAGACTTTTAACACGGACATATTTGTCTCTCATTCTCCCACCGCTTCATGCGCTCCCCACCTCTAAACCCACGTTTCCTGTCATTTCCGTCCACAAATAAAACGCTTGCTGCGCATCTTTTCACTCCTCCAGTCACGGGAGAATTAAACGTTCATATTTTTAGAGTTTTTTCGCGAGGTATTCTTCAAGCTTCTCCGTGTCTGCCGCTAGTTATCCTCGGCTCTCTTTGCAATGGCGGCGCTGTAAACAACAGCGGCGTCCTGACCAATCACAAGCTTGCGTAATCCGTCTCGTTTGACTGATGTTTAAAAAAGTGGGCTCGACTCCGTACGTACTTGCATGCCTGCCGGAGCCCTACGCAAGGACGGATAATGGCGTTGCGTGTCTCCGCACTGACACAGACGGAGAAGCATGAATCAGGCTTTAAGCTTGGTTTATGCTTGACGCATTCACTTTCCGCGCGGTGATGCGGCTCGCGGATGGAACGCGCTTCACAACTCGCAGGGTTTATGGTACGTGCGGCTCGTCTCTGCGGTGAGCTAATATTCTCCCAAACTGAACGGGGCAGTATGGAGTTCTACGGCAAGAATCCAACACTACACCATGGTAGAAGTAGAACTGACTGTTTACAACATGGCATTTCAGCATTTTTAACAGCGTTCTCATCTTTTCCGACAGTGCGAGCTATTTCTCTCCAAGAATTACTAACAACATGTTGATCACGGTGATCTTTGAGAGCTGAATCATACAAATGTCTGTATTTACGAACCTCTGCCATACTAGTTCTTGCCGGTCCGCCATGTTTTTCCGCGTCCGTCCGTCCGCGTGGTTAGAAATTTTTCGAGGTGCGCGTTGCGGAAATCTTCAGCCGTGCGGAGACGCGGTGGAGGGGCGTGGTTGTTAAAATGACGCAAAATGACGCAACTTTTCCGCGCGGAGCCGTGCGGACCTCGCGGACGCGTCAAGCATAAACCAACCTTTAGTCGATGTGTTTTCGTGACATGTGCTGCAGCCCTCTTTCACACACCAGACTCACATTTGAAATGCAACAACGCAGTAGACATGGTAAACCGTTGTGATGCCGGCTGAAGAGAGGTTAAATGTTACAAAATCAACACAGCTTTATGTCCCACCTCGTTGATGCTGACTTCAGCTTCCACATACTGTAGACCCTTCTGAATGATGCTGATGAGGGCAGCAGGGGGGACCAGAGCACCGTTTATGTTGGACTGACTGATGTGGCTCTCTATACCAAAAGTGAACGCTGAGTGGGAGAACCCTGATGAAGAGACAAAGAAAGAGGAGGGTAACAGTGGCTCTGGAACAAAGGCTGTGCTCAAAGCCACAGTTGAAAGTCCGGACACTGGGAATACGCTCATCCATAGACAAACCTGTCATCAACACGCTCAAGTTGCTGAACTACAACAGGCTTCTGTCATGTCTTTAAGGATCATTCTGCTGATTTATGGGTTTGAAGTGCTGCATTTAATCAGCCATTTTCCATGAACAAACTTCTCTCCATCCTCCTTCAGTGCAAATCCTTGTTTCAGTGAACCTCCGTGACAAGGATGTTGAGGGTAAGTTACTGCTGAGTGAATACTATTTTATCAGGGCCTGTTTCTGTCTAGGAGTCTTTAAGCAGAAGGTCGATAGCCATAATCCTGTCTGACTGTATGATTGGTTCTGATTGGGTGGCTATCAATGATGGGATTGGATGATGAGAATTGTCCAGGCTGAACTGATTTTTATTAGTATAAACTTAGCTGTACTTAAAAATGACTTTGTCTTATGATACTGTGTATTCAGTGGTTGAACAAAGAAACGATCACCAACGCATGTTATGTAGCTTACGCATTCACTCAGCAGATAACATGGCACCTAAGCGGCACGATGCTCAAAAGTTTGGTTATACTTCACGACAAAGGGTGACAACAGGGCAAAGAGTAATACTCGCTAAGTAGATATTTCATCAAACGGAGGAAACACTACAAATATGAAAAAGCATTTGTGCACAAAATATGCGATAAGTTAAAGTGAATGTCGTGTTTTTTACCCGTTCTGGACTGGTGGATTACAACGCAGTAGTAACGTTTACAGTCCTCTCCTGTTACTGCGGGTAACTAATTAACTAACACTGCCTATGTTAGCGCCATTTGCCTCCACCCTAGCAGACTCCAGCTACAAAGGTCTTATTCCTTTTGGTTGCTCACCTCCACACCTGTGTCATCCACCTGCACTTAAGTAAGGAACCCACGCCATACGTGTAGTCCTCAGTTTTCTGGCTCACTGTTGGATCCTGCTAGCCTGGCAAGCCAGACTAAATAAATGTATTATTTAGTCTGGCCATGCTCCATTGACGGCTCTCGGTTGTGGGGCGGGTTCTACCGTTGTCTTTCAAATGATCTCCGCATTCCACTGGACAATGAATGTGACATTCTCTTGTTTCACTCTGTTGCATCATCCCACCCACCAGGCATATAGAGTGCCCTGATTGGCCCACAAAGCGGATAAAGCTCTGTGATTTGTTCACTAAGCAGATAGAGCACTATGATTGACCCACCATTATGGACCAATCACAGCTGTTTATGTGTTTGAAACCCCTCTAGAGAGCTGTGATTGGCTAGCCAGAGTCCTGGTAGGAGCTGCTGAGGTTCCAATGGAGCATGCCTAGACCATTCTTTGCAAAGCAAGAATTTGGTCTAGTTCACTAGGCTAGGATCCTGCTGTTTCTGTGCCTGGTTAAAACTCTTATTACCAAGCCCTGTTTCTCACAGACACCATTGGTGATTTTGTTTTTTCTTCCAGTCCATTCAGAATTCAGCTCAAACCCCATTAAAGCCTTTTCTCTGAAGCATTTGCCTATCGCTGCCACAAATTATTACACAGATTTTATATGAAGCAGACATTCTAAAGGTGTGTTTTTAAAGCTAAAAATGGGACACCTTGTGTCTATAAACATTTATAAATTCTTGTGGTATAACAACTTTTAACTGGCCTTTCCAGGTTGAGAGAATTGTATAAATGAGTTTAACTGTGCAGTATGTGGTCTGAAGCTGACTAACAGAGTTGCATTTCAATGGAAATTAATGGAACTAAATTTTGTTCTATGTAACTGGGTTTAAATTGGCCTGTTTATTATTTTGTTAAGTCCTCTGAGATGACTTCTAGTTAAATGGCACTGTAAAGGTCAATAGAATGGAATTAAACTGTATATGGGAATAAATCATCTGCAGCGGATTTTATTTTGGGGCATCAAATGAAGGCATTTTATTAAAAGGGACTAATATAATATAAATAAATAAACTATAAAAATAGAAATATGCATTTTAAAGGAACAATTATATGAACGTTTCAAATTTCATCTTTACATCCTGACGTTTAAAATTAACAGGAAAAACAAGTTCTACTGGTTGTCATGTTTATTTATTATTAGAAAACAAACTTTAGAGATCATTTGTACAAACAATGAAATCACAGCAGACCAAGTCAAGATGGCTGGAAATCGAAGGTAATTAAAGGTTTATGAAAAACCTTCAAGAAAACGTTGCAGACCCGATAAGAGAGTGTGTGTGTGTGTGTGTGTGTGTGGGGGGGGGGGGGGGGGGGGGGGGTAGGGGTAGTACCTGACTCCTGTAGATATCTGTAGACCAGAAAGTTGACCTCATCACTGCTAATGCTCATCTTTAATCCCGTTACACCATGAGGCCAGCACACACACACCTAACCTGAAAAACAGGAGACATTCATCAATGACAGCAAAGAGTCACTCTTATCAACATGTGTGTTCAATACGAAGCCCACATCTCCACCCCTTCTGGTCGGCTCGTATAAAAAATAAAGAAACTTTGATTTACTTTTCTGTTTCTCTTGAAGTTCAGCTGTAAACATCCAGCTCTTCCATCAGGCCTGTAATCTGAGGAAGTGAATATTACGCAGCTATGCTTTTCATAAACAGGTGTTAAATTCTCACTTTTAATAGCAAAACGTCTCACTCTGTCTGCACGTAGAGCTACAAAGTTCAAAAGATCTCACATCTATCTTCTGCTGGCGTTTTCATGTGGATGAGTTAGCAGAAGGTGACATTAATGTTAGCTTTCTTAGGACTGAATGTTTGGGGCATCTCTCTTTTGTTGGGTGGTTTCAGTCAGTCATGAACCAGCTAAACCAACTGAAAACGTTTTCTTTTAAGTCATATTCATTGTTTGGATGTTGCTCTGTGAAAATGTTGTGATTGCTGGGTGTCTGTAGCGGACCTCTTCTCCTCAGCTCACCAACTCTGCCCTCAGTGACCTCTCACACCAAACACACACGGAGGAGCTGCAGCAGCCAAAACACAAACTACGATCACCAGTTGGTACAAGTTCCAAAACTTTACCACATTCTGCAGGAAGTTGAATTGTAATGCCTAGTTCTACAAAATTCCACCATAAAGGGATATAACTTTTTGTTTTGTTACCAAAAAATGTGTTCATAAAGTTCTTTGCACTAAATCCCTCTCACATAAAGTGAATTCAACATTTTTATTCTTGACAGTTTCAGAACCTTCCAGAATGAGCCGTCCCAGGGCTCTGTCGGTTTAAGAAAACAAGCTAGAGCTGGTTACGCCCACCCCTCCCCTGCTCAGGCTGCTAGGGTTGTCACGGTAACCGGTATAGCGGTAAACCCCGGTAAAAAAGTTGACAATAAAAATAACCGTCCAGTTTTTAAAAAACTTTATTATCTCGGTGGGTTTACCGTGGCCGCGGTTTCGGCGCGATGACCCTTACCAGCCACCGTCGCTTCAGCTGAAGTTCCCGCTGCGCGCACACGCACTTTTTAATTTGCAACGGCACCAAAACTTTGAAGCTGAAATAATGGCCGAAGGAGGAGACGGCAGCGCCCAGGACATCCATCAGCCCTCAAAGAAGACTAAATCGGAAGTATGGGCATATTTGGGATTTCTGAAAAATGCTGAGGGACAGTTAATAGAAGACTGGTATCCCGTTTGCAGAACGTGCAGGAAACAAGTGTCTGCAGAAGGCAGCAACACTTCAAATCTCATGGCACATCTGCGTGACCATCACCCACGTCTCCACAGCCAGTGCAAGGTAAGTTAACATTAGCATTTTAGCTTAAATGCATGACGTGAGGACTTTTGGTTGAGGGAGAATGCAACGAGTCACTATATACTGCAGCCGCAGCGTCCTCTGCCAGCATTTAAACCGTGTCACGGACACCCTGTTGCTGCATGAAGCATCTTATTTGTTGATGATGAAGAGAAATATACAATTAGTTCCTTGTCATGGATTTGTTTACTTATTCAATGCCATTTATACTTGAACATTTGGATTTGATTACATAGTGTAGTAGTTATTTTAGTAATTTGTTTAAAGTGGATATTTATTTTAAATACATATTTTTTAAGGTTGACTTGTACAGTGCTCAAGTCAAGTGTGGACTGGAGTTTTAGATTTTCATTTTGATAATGAAGAAAACAAGTATATGAGAAAACAAGTGGTGTTTCTTTGATTTGTTTACATATTGTTTATGTTTTGAATGTTTGGATTTGTATAATTTAAACCTGCACTGACTACTGTAACATGTTCCAGAAAAATAAGCTATTTGTTCCTTGTGAAAAGTTACACTTTTGCTAAGGCTTTGTGTTATTTTAGGTTTAATAAACACTGTTAAACCTTTTCAGAACTATTTCAGTTTGTGTAGAACAGGACTATCAATGCTTTCTGAACATATGCAACACCGTTTAAAAAATACCGCGATAATACCGAAAACCGTGATAATTTTGGTCACAATAACCGTGAGGTTAAATTTTCATACCGTGACAACCCTACAGGCTGCTATTGACAACTGATTGTTAAAAGACTGGACAAACCCTTCATGGCATCACCCATAGTTTTTTGAAAGGCTTGTGTAAAGCCAAATGGGTGGTTCCCACCACCGCTATCTTGGCTGCGTAATTTGTATCGTCACTACAGCCAAATACAAACATTTAGCATGATGAGTGTCGCCGTTGTGAGGTATCTTGTGTTGCCCCATGTTGAGAGCAGCATCTGAACCCGGTGACAACCAGCGACAAAATCTGGTAGGGATCTGGATGTTTTTCAAATCAGCCCCAGTGTAACATGAAATGTTGTTTATCACATAATGTTATAAATCCAGCGGAGTGAATTCTGGCAAAGTCTGCAACTTGTTTACATCAGTGATTATAACACTCGTAAGCTAGCTAACACGTAACTCTTGTAAATATTGTTCTCTATGAGCCCCATCTAGGTGTGCTAAACCTTCCCACAAGTGAACTGAGCTTAAATTAGTAGAAAGCAGGCTAAACTAGCAAAAAAATAACATCAGTCGCCAGTTTTCCTCTCTGTTAAATACTCCCGTAATTCACTGAACTGGGCTTGAACTAGTTAAAACCATGATAAACATCACAAAAAACAACAATGACGAGAACAAAAATAAATAAATAAAAACCTGTCTTGGTCGCTACTTTTCCCCTTTGTTCAATACTCATTTCGCTCAGTGTTTACTATGCTGTTTTTATCTGATTTGGTGGACCCATGTGATTGGGTGACATAGGTGCAAAAGGTCAATATGCTGACAAGTTCTGACAACCAGGAAGGGCTTAAAGTAGAGCTACTGTTCCTGCTGTAGTAACTCCCTCTTACTCATGAGAGGTGGTTCTATTGTGATTTCTCAGTTTGTGACATCACAAATGAGGCTGTTTTGAAATCGCTTGTTTTAGGCAAATAATTCCTAAACCAAACAGTGCCAGGAAACTGTTTTTTTTTTCACGTTTGGAGTGTTTACAGAGGCAGTAGAGACCCACGTGGCACCACAAATAGATACAAATGGTGAGTTTTGTATAATAAGTCCCCTTTAGGTGAAACTCAAGTCATGAAGGAATTTAGATTCCTTCCAACAATTCCTGCCTTCTCTGATATGTCCTCATATACGAAACCCCTCTCATTTTGTTTGGATCATTTGATGTAAAAATCTGGAACAATTTTTTCTAAAATACAAAAGTGAAAAGATTAAACACATTTTCTGGTGCATCCTCATCATTTTTCACAGAATTTTGATTTGTTACTGATTTTGTGTTTGAATTATTGCACCATGTTTGTAACAATAAGCACAGACTCCAAATAAGAGCCAACTCAAACCCCATTTCCCACAGAGTAACCAGCCCAATAAAGTCTGTCTTCAGGTCTGCAGCCTCCTGCTGCAGGATGAGGGGTCGATAGCGTGTTTAATGGTGTAAACTTACATGGATGAAACCATTTCCAGGGTACTGTGAGCGTTTGGTTACATTTCTTTTCCCAGAATATTTCATTGTTGGAAAAGCTAAACCGTAGTGTGGCCTGAAGCAACAATGAAAAGTATCCATTCCAGAATAACCAGTCAGAATTAGCTGCAATGACCAGTGCAGGTGCTGAGATCAACAGAGGTCAGTCATATATATATATATATACATATATATATATATATATATATATATATAAACATAGTTTTGTTTTCTCAACCTTTTGTCTCTCCTTCACTATGCCATGGAGAAATGGAGAAATCTGAGATTTACACATACTCAGTGTCTGTTTAATGAGAAATTAAAATCAATAGTACAATATAATATAACAAAGAAACATTTGCAGGTTTACAAGCAAACACACAACTTACACAATGCTAAGAATGGGCGCAGGCAGAAGCATAAGCTTATAAGCCCAACCCCCCAAACCCTTTGAACTTAAACAAAATTTTAGAATAGCATACCGATTCCATAATTTTTACATCATGTTTGAAATGTATGGGAATATATTCAAATCCCCATTCTAGCTTTATAAAAAAAAAAAAGACCTTTAATGTTTTATGCATTTTTTCATTGACTTGATTCATAATATTTAATCACATTTGATTTAAACATACCCTTAAACTTTACCATTGTTGAACAATCTTTTTGCTCCTGGTCTAATTTATTCCACACATCAACCCCAACACAAGAAATACAAAGTTGTTTCATTTTAGTTCTTACTTTAGGCTTTCTAAACATTTTATACCCTCTGAGATCATGAACACTCTCTCTGATCTGAAACAGATCCTGAATTTGTTTTGGCATCAAATTATACATCACTTTATACATAAACTGTGCAGTTCTTAATGTAACTAATTCTCTTAGCTTTAATACTTTTAAATGAATAAAAAGTAAATGTGTATGCTCTCTACAAGCTGCTTTATTTACAAGTCGGATTGCTCTCTTTTGAATTATAAACAAAGGCTTTAAGTGGGTTTTGTAGGTATTTCCCCACACTTCAACACAATACATGAAATAAGGCAGAAATAAGGAACAATACAAAAGATATAAAGCTTTTTCATCTAAAAATTCTTTAACTTTATAGAGAACTGCTAATGATTTCGATAACTTTGCTTTAATTGAGTCAATATGCGGTTTCCAACTTAACTTTTTCTATGGTTACGCCAAGAAATTTTATTTCATTCGCTCTTTCAATTTCTGTATTATTTATTTTGAGATTTGTATCCACTGTAATTGCTCTATTAGTAAATATGATAAATTTTGTTTTATTTAAATTTAAAGTTAATTTATTTAAGTTAAACCAACACTTTAATGCATTTAATTCTTTCTCAACCTTGTCCATTAAAGTTATTAAACCTTTCCCAAAACTTAGAACATTAGTATCATCTGCAAATAGTATGAAATGCAATGTTTTAGAAACTAAAC